GCGCTGGTTCGAATCTAGTTTCCATCTGCCGTAGGACCAGGCGAACGAACGAACAAACGAACGCCAGATCCGTGCGCACGCCGCGTGGGCGCCCGCACGCGCCCGTTTGGGCGTGGCGGTGGAGGCCGTAGCCTCGAAACGGGAATCACACCTGGTGTATTTGGAGAGAACATGCAATGCGATATGATATGATATGATATATATATATATATATATGTAATTGCTGCTTTTCCTGAACTCGCAGAGAACATACTTCTGTTGCGACACCAGGCTCGAGGCTGCCGCTACTGCTGTAAAACCAGCTGGCACGGACTAGAGCCACGAGACTCTCGTCGCGACCAGGAATCGATTCAAAACGCACCCCGTGAGGTTAAAGAGGGGGGCTGGGAGGGAAGCTTGAGCAAGAGCGGTTGCGGGCAACCCGGCGGCCGCTGGCGCTAGGTCCCCTACGACCATGCCGCCACCAAACGTTTGAGCAAAAGCGGTTGCGGGCAGGAAGAACAAGGCCCGCAAGACACGACAGACGTTACTGAAGTCACAGCAATATCGTGGTACCCACAAACATAGGAAAAAGGGGGGAGGGAGGGAGGGAGGGAGGGATCCTTGATGTCGGTAGAGGAAGAATAGAGGAGAGAGGAGGAGAGTGGACGGGCGGAGGTAGGTAAAGGAGGAATGAGGAGAGGAGCAGGGTGGACGGGCGCGGCGGAAACGGAGGGAGAGCAAAGGCTCTCGGGAAAACGGGCGCCCCGCGCGCCGCCTTCACCGTCCAGTCGTACCGCGAGAACGGGGTGCTCGTCCGCACCACGTCCCAGGCGTTCAAGAAGAGCTGCGTGTTGGCTGCAGTCCCGTCCTCCCCCACAGCATTGGGGGACCGAGCAAGGAACATTGGATGCCGAACGCTTCGCCCAGTGCAGCGCCAGCGGCCGAACGGTCGCGTCGGCGACGTCGGGGGCGGCGCCGACCGCGGCGATGGCAGCGACGACGGCGGCGACGACTCTGGCGATGGCAGCGACTGCGACAGCGGCGACGGTGCCGACTTCGACGATGGCGGCGACGACAGCGACGGCGGCGACCTCAAAGCCCCCCAGGGGCCTCGGAACCTCGCCAAAACAGGGGGTGCGAAGCTCCCGGGGGACCCCTCCTGGAAAACCTCATCCCCCCAAAACCCTCTTTGGAACTCTCTGGGAGAAGCTGTGATTGCTTTCACTGAAGGCTTAGAGCACTTCTTATAGACCCGACGCCTCCCGGGCCTCCCGAGAAGGCCCCCTCTGCACTCGCCCATGGGCTCGCCGCCGAGAGTTGGAACGGGAATCGGCAGTCCTAGCGGCCTAGCGGTGGCCCTGCTCGGCGAGCTGGCGCAGATGCATGCCGAGCGTGCGCACGAGTGGGCGTTTTCAGCGAGGCGGAGGCCCGCCCAAGAGTGGGCCGCCGAGGGTCCGCAACGACGGTGTGCGGGCACGTGTTGTGGCATGTCCCTGGTGCGGCGGGCCACCGCTGCAGGCAGTGCTGCGCATCGCTTAACCGATCCCTATCCCCACTGGCGTGGCCTTGGCCCCACTGGCTGACTTACCCACCTGGGATGGGACATATGCTGTTCCCATCGAGTTTCGCGGGGCACATCCCCACCTAGGTGGCTTGGGCTGGTGAGGCTGAGAAACCTCGGCCCGATGGGGGTGGGGATTGGTTAGACGAATCTGAAGTGCAGCGCGACGGCGACCACCAAACACGCCCAGAGCAGCCTGCGGACCAAGCGGGATTCCCGCCATAAGTCAAGCGCACTCCACTGCTCGCAAAGTAACCGCTCGCAAACGGCCTGGACCCGCCGCGTGGACTCCTCATCCATTACGTCGAGGCAAACGTGCGTTTTACTATCTGCCGTGTGCGAGTAGGCACTTTTGAAGGGGCCCTGGGACACGCAGACAAATACACACAAATAACAGGATTCCCAATATTTTACTATATTTTCTGGGTTTTTTGTCTTCCCCCCCACGTCCCGTATTTTCCTATATTTTCCGGGGGATCGAGGATTAATTGTGTCTGTGTGTTTTCTCCCCCTCCTGAACTTTGCGAGTATAGCGGAACGCGCTCTGTGAGCCATGGCGAGCCGGCGGTGCTGCAGAGCTGGTCGGCCATCAAGCTGTCGTGCACCCTGGGCTCGCGGAGGGTGCCGATCTCGACAGTCGAGGACAGCGGCGGAAGGCTGTGAGCTCGATGCGAAGCCGGGCCTGCCAGAAAAAAACACGCAGACACAATTAATCGTCGACTCCCAGAAAAGATGGGGAAATATGGGAAGTGGGGGGAATACAAAAAAACAAAAATACAGGAAAATATAAGGGAATCCTGGGATGTGCGCGCATTGATTTGTGTGTCCCTGGACCCCTTCAGGCACGCGCCCGCCCAAGGAGTTCCCTGACCAGTTGCCACCGCTGCGCCCAGCTCTCTCTGTGTGAGCGGCGGGAGGGTGGCCAGGATGGCCCTGGAGATCCGCGGAGAATGTTAGGAGGCAACTACTGGGAGGTTTTCGTCGAAAAGATCCAAAAGGATTAAGCCCCATCGGGGGCTGTTATGCAGCCGGATTTCGGACCAGGGCAAAAACAGAATTTGACCCCCCAGGAGTTGCATCCGAAAGAAGGTGAGCAACGCGCCGTTGCCAGCCCAAGACGGGAGCAGCCCGCTCGGGAGCCCGGGCGGTGGCCAGGAGCCCCCTCTCATGACCCTGGGGCCCAGGAGGGGGTGCAGAGGAGGCGTGCCCTCTCAGAAGAATCAGAACGCCTCCCGCCATCGGAGCAGCTTTCTAAAGCGTTCTCCGGAAGCACAGGACGACCTCTCGGAAGGCCATGGGGGGGGCTTTCGAGAAGCCCCGCCGCCTTCTGAGGAGGCCTGCCCCCCCCCTCACTTCCCCCACCCGGCGTGCCACCGATCACTTCGTCTCCTCGCCTGGTTCCCCCCCCGCCACCGCCAAGGGGCAGCCCGGAGCAGGCTGCCCTCGGGGCTCCGACGATGCCCTGGCTGGCCTGTCCGCCGCGCGCAGGCCGCTCGCGGGCCTGCGCGAGCCGCCGCGCTCACTTTGCTGCGCCGCCTCGGCCTCGGCAGACGCTGCCGGCGCGGGCACGCGCCCACGTCCTCGCGTCCAGGCGCCGGCGCAGACAAGCCTCGGTGGTGGACCTCAGGGGGGTGCGGAGGCTTGCTTGGGCCCTGGCTCTGCCGGGGACAGCCCTCAGCGGAGCGCTCTCCCTCCTCGTCCGCTCGTCGGCTCGGGGGCCCCCCCCCCTCCCACCCGCGCCCGCAGGCCGAGTCGCCTGGCGGCTGCGCTCGGGCCGAGCGCGCGAAAGGAGGCGCACACTCCTCCTGGCCCCCCCCCCTGCCCTCTTGCTGCGCTGCACCGCCGTAAACCTGCGAGAGCCGCCGCGTCTGAGCCGCCGCGTCTGAGCGCACGTGCCGCGTCTGAGTGCACGTGCTAACGTGTTACTCTGAGCACGAGGAGCGCACACGCGTGAGCGCGAAATGATGGAAACCGCAGTGGGTGCACAACAGAAGCTGGGAGGGCGAAGAGAAGCGAAAAGGTGGAGAAGCCCGCAATGGCACAGAGGAGCGCACGACGGCAAGATCCCCCTACTCCCTCCTCCTCGTCATCGTCGTCGTCCTGCTCCTCCTCCTCCTCCTCCTCCTCCTCCTCCTCCTCCTTATCCAACTTCCCCCCGCCTGATATACCCCCTTCTTCGTCCGCCCCCCTCCTCCCCCTCCTCCCCACCACTTGGCCCAGCCTACCCCCACCACCGAACGTTTCTCGACGAATTCCCCCCACACTAATTGCATTCACCCCAGACCAATTTGCGCGCACTGCTGCCAATCTATCGGGGATTTATGAGATCTTGCGATTATGGAGAATTCGCCGGGCGCCACGACCGTTCCAGAGCGCTCCAGACCGCTCTGAAGGCGTTCTGGAATGATTAATCCCAGCCCTGGGCCCGCCCGAAGCCCGAATGTCAACGTTAAAGGGGGGCGACTCAGGCGGTGAAACATCGAGCATGAGCCGGTGATACATCGATGGTAGATCGGCGATAGGCTCCCGATAGTGAAACCGCACGCTCTTGGGCGGGGTGGACTAGTTACCGGGCCCCTATCGGCGATGAGTGGGCGATCGGGGGTCGATGCCCCCCTAAGCCAATGCCCCTCTCGCGTTGCCCCAGATTCCTTTCTCTCTCTCTGTCTCTTTCTCTGTCTCTCTCTCTCTCTCTCTCAGGCCCGCCACGTGGCATTTTTTCGCAACGTGAACCCCCGAGCAATCTTGACTCATGCCCAAAACTGTGTTTTGTTATCCCTGGTCGTTTGCTGATGGTCCCAGGGCCTGGCGAGAACATCCAGGGACCGTAACTTGTCCCAGACCTCCCCTCGTGGCTCTTGCCATGACGCGAATGTTTCGGGGTCCCTCCGTCGCCGATATGGACCCCAGGGGTGCAGGCTACCCTAGGCCCTAACTACCCCAGGGCCTAGGGTAGCCCAGGGTAGGCCTGGGGGCAGGCCATAGTGGGAGGCAGCCAAGGGTCTGAACTGGTTGGGGCTACAGAAAATCGGTCAGGAGAGGGAATGAAGCCAACTCCGCTCGAAATCGCCCCGCTCCCTGCTGGCCGGAACGGGCGCTGGGCCACCTCGGGTCCCCAGTTGGCTCCAAGAGTGGCCGGCTGGGATAGGCCTGGCAGGGGCAGGCCCTTGGGGTAGGAGGGGTGGGCCTATAGGGGTAGGGGTAGGCCCTAAGGGGTGCGCCCTATGGGGCAGGCCCTCGCTCTGGCTTGTCCGCAAACCGTCGGCCCTGTGTGCCCCGCCCTGCCCCTGGCGGCGTTTGCGCTCCTTGGAGATGCCCACCGGCGCGGGCGTGAAGAGCACCGCGGCCGCGGATCGCGGCGCCGCGCTCCGCTCGCCCAGCAGGGCCTGGTCGCCAACGCCGCTGATGACCAGGTCGTCGCTGCTGAGCATGACCTGCCCGTCGCACGCGAAGATTCCTCTGCGCGGGAGGGGGGGGGGAAAGGACGAGGCAGGCTGGAGTCGGGGATGGACAGAGTCCCCTGTAGCAAAACGTGGTCTAGTGAAAACGACCTCGGGTCCAAACCTGGCGGGCAAAAGCCAAGAAAATGACGGCCGCGGCGCCGTCTCGAGAACCGACAACGGATTGTGACAACGGACAATTCACTAATCGACGTGTCAGGGTGGGGGTTCTGTCCACCCCCGATGGGGTCGGCTGGGGGTCCGCGGTGGCTCAGCAGTGGTTCCGGCCAGCAGGGCAAGGGGGGGACGGGGGGTCGGGGCTCTGGGTTTGGGAAGTTGTCTGCTCTTTTCGGCCTCCAGGGTCGGCGGCACCGGCCGTCAGGCCTTCACAATCACGATTTCCTTGAGATCCGCGCAGATCTCTTGGATCGGCGCTGGACCCCCCATCCTTGGCCTGGCGCGGGGAGCACGCCATGGGCGGCGTCGGAGGCGCCGAAAGGGGGGCCCAACACAGATCCGGGAGACCGCGCGGATCTCCGAAAAAACATGCTTCTGTAGTTTTGTTTAGTTCGTCGGCAAGAGGCTTCACCCCAGATGGGGACGGCGGCGACAACTTAAGATGCAGAGCGTCCCGCGCTCCGCGCGGAGAAATAGCAGAGGTGATCCCTGGAAGAGAAGCGGTCGGGGGCCCGACCCATCCCTGCCGATGGAAGGGGGGTATAAAAGAGGCGGAAGAAATGAGGGGGGCAGCAGCTCCCGGGTCACAGCGATATTGGAGGCCGCGTGCAGACCGCCACGAAGACGAGAACGGCAACCGCACCACCGAGGCGACACCACACAACTTCAAAGCCTTCCTCTCAAATGTCCCGGCGCTCCGCTGCCCGCGGCACCCTCCTCGTTGATGGGCAACCGCGGGATGCTGCCAGATGGGGGAGGGCGGCGAACAGCAGCAACAGGACAGGCCTGGTTTAACATCAGAGCCCTGGTTGGTCAGCTCCTCTGGGCTCAAGTTCCGCAGCGTGGTGCCCGCGTTGACCGAACTGTCGCACCAGGCCCAAGTCACAGCCGAACACACATACGCGCGCGAGCGCAGTCACGTGCCTTTGCTCCTCTTCCTCCTCCTCTTCCTCCTCCTCCTCCTGTTCCTCCTCCCCTCTTCGCCCTCCTCCTCCTCCTCGTCGTCCTCCTCCTCCTCCTCCTCCGCGTCCCCGTCCTACTCCGCCTTTCGCTTCTCCTGCGTCCATGCCCAAACGAACAAATTCATCATTCGCTGCTACGCAGATTGCTGCTGAAACGGGCGCCTAGGGCGGCGCGATTGATTGTAGAATTTTGGTCCGCTGCTGTTGCCCGTCGTGCTGTTGTCTCGAAGAGCGGCGAAGGATAACCAAACGATGGAGGAAGACGGCGGGGAGCAGAGCATCAGTATCAGCAGCGCTCAGCGGGAGGAACGGACGGGTGGAGGCGAGGCAATGCAGCTGGTGCACAGCCACGACATATCAAAAGCCAAAGGGGGAGGGGGAAATGAGGCCAAGACGGTGGATAGGAAAAACGAAAGACTGGCTGAGCACACGTCTCAAAAGCGCTCTTACGCATCGGCACCGGAATTCGCGACTCTGCCCATCACCGCTTCCACATCCGAACGCGCAGGCATGGCTGGCACGCTGTGGTCCACCCTCCAGGTGTGAGTACAAGGAGACGGCCGAGGGGCCGTTCCTGTACGGGGTCCGTATGGAGAGGCGGGGAGTAGGACTCCTTTTCCAGGACACTGCTCAGCGTGCAGTGCTCTGTTGTCAGTAGGCCAATACCTGAGCCAATACAGTCGCGGAAGGGATGTAATAGGGAAGCGAACGGACTTCACACACAGACACACACACACACACCAGGGAGGGTCTCGCAGAAAACATTGCCCCACGCCTGTGGTCACATCAGAATGCACCGCTGCACTTCGGCCCACGGGATGTCGTCGATGGCAACGGCAGACTCGAGGAAACAGTCAAAGAGTCGATCGGCGACGTCGCGAGCAAGGGTGGACGGAAAGAGATGGGCGCCCGGCGGAGCGAGATCCGCACGCAGCACTTTGTCTCCGCTGCCCATTGCCTCTCTTGCAGCATGGACCTCCTTGCATCCAGCTTGGCGCCGCCGATTCCGAGACGGGAGGCCTGCTGCTGCTTCTTCCAGCTCGCGCACCAACCGGGGACTCGTCCACGCGAAAACGCTTGCCAGCCAGAAACTACAGTACGGGCAGGCACTCTCGCGCACGCGTTCGAGGGAACGTCGAGAGCTCGGGCCGCGTGTCGATGGTGGTCAGGGCGGAACTTGCATGCGTGGACATATTCGTATAACTGGCGCGCTTGACATCGGGACCGCCCCGCTCGTTGACGTGGGGCCAGCCAGCACGAGATCGGTAGCAGTGGGGCATTCTGAACATGAGTTCGAATCGCCTGTGCTCTTGTCTACCCATATCCCTCCGCAGCAATCTCTGGAACTGGCTGGCGCACGTGCGCGTTAGCAGCGCGCGGCGACAATGCAACTTCGAGGCGGCGTGCGGAGGCGCGCCAGCAAGGGCAATGGCCGCGCCACGATATGGCCCACTTCGTCACGGGACCCGTCCAGGAAGCTCGCGCAGCACCAGAGCCTACCTGCAGACCGAGATACGTTCAATTGCTGGCAATCTTGAACGCAGCCCATGCGGGGATGCAGCTCGAGAGCCGCTGCCAATGAGGCCTCGCTGCCCTGGGCGGACATCTCCCCGCGGGCCGGGCAGGGGAGCGATCGCCCACTTCCCGGTCTAAGTTCGCCGCGCGCTTGCACGATTCAAGGGCGGCGAAGAGTCTTCTCAAAACAGACCGTTAAAACAATGCAATGCCGTTCCCATCTGCAAAGCCCCGCGCGAGTCCGCGCCGAGTGGCCGCCGCGAACGCCCCGAAGTGGCGCGCAAACGGGCGGGGCGCCAGGGGGCGCGACATCCCCGACGCGAGACGCCTGCGAAGAATCCGAGAACCGAAAATAAACGCGACCCAATGATCTCCACTAACGCCGCCCAAGCACCAAACACCACGGTAAACAATTCCCCGCGGCCCCGGGAAGATGGCCTGGAAAGAGAAGTTGACCCACTTCTCCCGAGTATCCACTCGTGGCAGGTCGACGGGGGCGCCTGGCCAAAGCCTGAAGATGCCGCGCGGGCAGCCCCCTGCCAACGTCGCCCTCCATCGAGGCGCGCGACCCATCGTGTCGAGCTCGAAGAAAATCTCGCCGCAGTCTGTGGCAGGTGCGAATCCGCGCTGGGCGCGGCGAACCAGTTGGGCAAGTCGTTGAGCGAGGGCGCGAGAACAAAGACTGGCGCGCATCTGGATCTCCGCATTCTTTAGCCCCAGAGGCCGGGCCTTGCTGCGGCGCCAAAGAAACTGAACCCCATCGCTACCTTCCTCTGCTTTGACGCGGAACGCCCCGCGCAGCTCGCGACCGCTGAACATTCGCCACCTAGCTTCCGGGGATGCGCTTCCGAGAGGACAGCAACTCCGCCGGGCTGTTTTTGATCGAACATCATGAAGTAACTAGCGGGGCCCCGGGCGCTGATGCCAAGCCTCCGAATGCATTCCCGACGGTCCAATTCCGAATTTTTGTTCGGGGGTGAGCCCCTTGGGCCCACTCTGAAGCTGGCGCGGCCGAGGCAATGAATGCCTGGCAGCTGCTCTGTCGGAGCTCCATCTCTCTCTCTCTCTCTCTCTATCTCTCTCGCTCTCTCTCTCGTTATCTCTCTCTCTCTCTCTCTCCCTCTCTCTCTCTCTCTTTCATCCTCTTTTCCAATAGTTTCTTTGTTTTGACCTTCTCTCTCTCTCTTTCTTTTTTCTCTCTCTCTCTCTCTCTATATATCTCTCTCTCTCACAACCATCCTGTGGTGTTGGGTCCTCGTTTTGAAGAGACAGCGCCCCGCGTTCACTCCTTCCTTCCTCCCTTCCTCCCTCTGCCCCCTCCTCCCTCCTCCCCCTCCGCGTCAGCCACACCCATCTCGGCACACCGTTCACACGTTTCGTGGCCCCATAGGGAGCCCCACCGAGGGCCCCAATGGCTGCGTCCGCATGGCGGCACCGCACCCATTTCGGCACACCCCTCACACGTTGCGTGGCCCCATCGGGAGCTCCACCGAGGGCCCCAGTGGCTGCGTCCGCATGGCGGCACCGCGCCCATTTCGGCACACCCCTCACACGTTTCGTGGCTCCATCGGGAGCTCCACTGAGGGCCCCAGTGGTTGCGTCCGCATGGCGGCACCGTGCCCATCTCGGCATACCCCTCACACGTTTCGTGGCTCCATAGGGAGCTCCACCGAGGGCCCCAGTAGCTGCGTCCGCATGGCGGCACCGCACCCATTTCGGCACACCCCTCACACGTTTCGTGGCCCCATAGGGAGCTCCACCGAGGGCCCCATTGGCTGCGTCCGCATGGCGGCACCGCACCCATTTCGGCATACCCCTCACACGTTTCGTGGCCCCATCGGGAGCTCCACCGAGGGCCCCAGTGGCTGCGTCCGCATGGCGACACCGCACCCATTTCGGCACACCCCTCACACGCTTCGTGGCCCCATAGGGAGCTCCACCGAGGGCCCCAGTGGCTGCGTCCGCATGGCGTCACCGCACCCATTTCGGCACACCCCTCACGCGTTTCGTGGCCCCATACGGAGCCCCCTCTCATTCGTTCAACCTGCTTTGCGGTACTCGTAACTGCATATGGTTGGGTCCATCGCCAGGATAATATTTTCTCGCTCTCTCTCTGTCTCTCTCTCTCTCTCGCTCGCGCTTTTTGTTCTCCTCTCTCTCTATATATATCTAGATATCTCTCTATCTCTCCCTGTATGTATATTTCTCGCTCTCGGTTTGTATGTTATATTTCTCTCTCTCTCTCTCTATACCCCCCCCTCTTTGTTGCGCCTCTCCTCCCCCGCTCTCTGACTCACTCTCTCCAGGAGAGAGTGGGGGGGGAGAGTGGGAGAGACTCTCCCTCTCTCCCTCTCTCTCCGTCT